GGAGCTCTATTGTGAAGACCTCAGAAGAAAAATCAATTTTTCCAGTCAGCTTTTCATAATGTAAACATAGTTTGAGCTTTCCCCAATGGGCAGCTAAACCATGAACAAGCAGAAAAAAACGTTCTGGACTGTATTTCTGAACCAGGCTTCACCTTCCATCCTGGGAACTTATTAAAGGATTACAGCTGAAAAAGACCAGAGAAAGAAAACTTTGAACAGGAAGTTTATCCTACAATGAGAATTACAAGTACATCTTGTATCTGCCCAGTCCTAGTTTGTCTCTGTTTTGTGCAGAGGTGTTATGGAGCTGCTCACCATGGCTCCATCAAGGTGACTAGAAACCAAACCAAACACATAGAAGGTGAAACAGAAGTGCATCATCGTCCCAAGCGTGGATGGGTGTGGAATCAGTTCTTTGTTTTAGAAGAACACATGGGACCAGATCCTCAGTATGTAGGAAAGGTAAGGTCGTCATCTTGCTTTTTCCCCCCGTCCCCTGAAATGTGCCATTGATAGAGGAAAATCAGACCTCTCCTTAGGTGGTGCCTCCCTTTTTAAAGGTGGAGACCTCTTGAGACAGGAGTATTGCTACATCTATGCTCAGTGAATTTACCAATTGTCTGTGTACATTTTCTATGTTAATTGTCAAGATAGAAATATGAATTAAGTAAATAGGATGTGGATATTTAAATATGTTGAAATAGTGTTTCTTCTGAGCTCAGCTAAGAATGGCTGAAGTTGAGGGCAGCTGGTACTCTTACATCAGATTTGGCCCCAAGTGCTTGAATTATGTCAGTGTTAAAGACTTTCCCATGTTACTTCAGAATAAGATTCAGTTCTACTTCAGGGAACGTTATAAATACAGTCTAGGGTCAGTAGGCTATTCATTTCCCTTTGAGGGAAGGGTTCCCTTTTCCTCTAAAAGGAAATCCTTCTGTGACTTTCTCCATTAAAAGAGGCAGGAGATACATTACTTGCTACAACTTCTCACAAGTTGGTGAGGTGTTATTAAACTGTAGTTTGTCAGGATGCCAGCAACCAACAACAAGACCTCCGCTTATGTTTGACTTATGTAGTGAGCTGAGCTTCAGGCATAAGCTCCATTCTGTCGTGCTGATGCAGTTGTCGGGTGGCCAGCTGAAGACTGGTTTATCGTGTGTAATGTTGTCTGCATGCATGTTTGAAATTTGTATTAAAATAATACAAACACTGAAAATAAGCTTCATAAAGAGATGTTTGAGACAGAGCTTTTGTGCCCCTGAATATCGTCTTTCAGCATTATGATGGCATTTTTTTATTACTTGACTTAGATGAATCTTTATTTCCTTAATGAAAAAGGAGAAAGATGTTGAACATGAGGGAAGAAACAAGACGTCTAATGGGGATGAGGGCATCGAGAAGGAATTATTTCATTTTAGTTCGTCTTCAAGTTGGAAAACTTGAAAATTACATCTTGGAGTATACAAAACATCCAAGAAGAGCAGTAGCTCCTGAAATCACAGATGTCTGGTAGCAAAGTCTTTCAGATTTGGATATTATTGTCTGAGCTAGACATAGCAAATGGAGCATCGATGTTTAAGGGAGTATTGCCATAAAGATCAAAAAAGAGCTCCATGATTTTGTTAATACAACCTAAGTGAAATATGAAATATTGGGCATTTTTCCAGGTAATAAAAAATAACGGTTATACTGAGGGATGTTGAGATTTGCGCAGGAATTATAAGCTGAGGGAAGAACTTTCTGAATGGAGCTAACAAGTTATTTTGAAAGGGAAGCTTTCAAAATAGGTGAGGCAGTAAGGGGGATATGCCTTCAGACTCATCCTAGAGTCTGAATTTCTAAGCTGCAAAAGTTGAGATAGTCCAAAGAGAGATAAGCCAGTGTTAAAGCTGTTGTGCAAAGTAAATATTAACCTGTATACAGCTTCCGATTACTTTTGGCTAAGAAAAAATGGATTTATATGTGGAGCAATGCAGAGAAAAAATACTACAATGAACAGGGTCGTAGTGGGGAATAAAACATATTTGTTTAGTTATTTCAACAGATAACGGTGGAGAGCATTTATATTTTCTGTAAACGTGCCCTGGAACAAAGCACAAGGGAGAGAGAAGAGCTATTTAAGTTGATTGAGTTTCACTTGGAAAAAAATGAGTTTTTGCTGGCCATGAGTTAATTTGGGATGGAAGTAAGAGAAGATAAGTGAGGTTCTGGAGGATCCTCCTAGTAGGATGAATGGGAACAAAAATCTGAAATGCTTTCAAAGTAAAGCATGCTTTTCTTTGCGAAAGCATTTATAGACTTGATTGCTTGCAAGAGCAGAGACCTGGATTCAGTGATAGTCCCCTTCAGTTTTATATTCCTGTCATAGTGTTGCATTTTTTTCTCTCATTCTCTGACCACTTTATCAATGCCAGATTTATGGAGATAACAAATAAGATTTCTTTTTATCCTTCATGCTCAGAATGTGATTAGATGCCTTTGTTTGAGGACATCTCTTACTCTGTATTTCCTAAACTTTTTTCCCTGTTTCTCTCAAAGAATTCGCTATGGGCACGTACTCCGAGTGTCCTCACAGCAGTAGTAAGCTTGTCTTTGAAGAACCTTTGTGGGACTTAGGAGCATCTGTGCTCCCTTTTGCATTTGATGATAGTTCTGATGACCAAATTTAGTGCAGAGATCAATCATATTAGCTCAGGCATTTATTTTTACTTCAGAAAAAAGGCTGAGACGAACAACGTCTTAATAATCAACAGAATTTCCATAGCAGTCACTGTGCGTGTGTTTCTTTTCATTTTGAAACACAGATGTCTTAGCAATGTTGCATTAATTATAAACACCTCGCCAAGGTCTCATTCTGCATGCTTTAATTTGAGGGGTTTTCGAGTGGATCCCCTCAGTATATGAAAGAAGGGCTATGCGTGTGTTGCCCTTTAGTTCTGGGCTTCTACTCTGTAGCACTACCCTATCAGTTCTGTCAATTACTAATTCTGTGGACTGCCCTGCTTCATTGGGGAGAGTTTTGCCATTTGGTATCTGTCCTCTCACATTTTTCACACCCAGTTTGGGAGTAACATCACAAAAAGCAGAGTCATTATGTACAATGCTGTTATAATGATTGCAGTCATTGTCATGGAAATGCACACTGAGGACAAGAATAAGTTAGGTCTGCCATAGAAATGGTAAGGTTTCCCGTTCGTATCATGAAATGACCGTCAAGAGGATGGATTAATTTACTGCCATGATCTCTTGTACAGCAAGTGTTAAGACAACAAGTCATCATTATATTTTAGTATCATATCCCCATATAGTAACATATCCCCACTCCTCACTCATTATTTCTTTTCTTTTAAAATTTGTCATTTGGAGACTGGAAAACTATATAAAATGAATCCATATTAGTAATGCTCATGAGGTTTTTATAAGAAGGAACATGACAAAACACAGATACTGCATGAACAAAGTTGTGATATACATGAGAAATGATCCTTTTGTAGATGCTAAATATTTTGTCTGATATCTAGATTATTGAACTGATGCTCCCTTGTGCTTGGGGTCAATCTTCAATGTTTCAGGTGATGTTTTCCTGAACACACATCTCCAAAAATAGTTTTATATTAAAAAAGCTATATTTAAAGTTCCTAAAACCACAGTTACTTCTTTTTCTGAAATTATGAGTTATTTAGGGAAGTTTTCACAAAAACTTCTAAAAGGTCAATACTGTCTAATGGCGTTCTGAGAGACTATTCATCTGCAAATATGTGCATGTGTGTGCGGTGGAGAAACTGAGGGAATTTGACCAAGCAAGAACGAACATCCCCTTCTCAAACAAGCAAGTGAATTCACAGACTTGAGCTTTCAGCTAGAAGAGAAATCATGAGGAGCTTTCCTGCGCTCTCTGATGAAAAACATCCTAATGAAAACATAGCTTTGAAACTGAAAGAGGCAGGGTTATTAAGTGCACAATGACTTGGTGAGGGGTTGGGTACCACCATTGTATTCAGTGCAGCAGCTCAGAAGAGCAGATTCTCCTGAGGGAATCTAGAAGAACATGCACAGTACTGCTACAAGTGTTAACATTGCTCAGTTCCTATGGTTGAAGTAAGTTGCGTTTCTCTTGCATTTCCTACGAGCTTCCAAGTTAGATAATTCATATGTCAGGATATGCAGATTATGCAGTCGATAGCATTCTTCTTCATTTTGAGCGTTGATACATCTTTGTTTCCTGAATGTCCTGTGTTATTTGAAAGTGAGTTGTATCGGAAGCAGCTCATAACTTCACATTCACTATGCTTTTTACTTTAGAGAGAGAAGTTAATGTACAGTGGTAAAGGGAAGATCACTGTTGGTCTGACTTTGGAGTGAGTTGTGCCTTAAAAGGGAATAGCAGAGGAGGCATAATGAACAAGACTGATACATGTGGACGCTTTGGATCTGTAACGTCCTGAATGCATGCATCTCTCAAGCAACTCTTTACTGTCCCCTAAAGAGCAAATAAGAATGGTTCTTCAGGTATTCAACTGCATATAGGTTTTCAAATGCATTTTTCTTCCCAATTTGGGGTGTAAGGAGAGTGACATTTTACTCCATTCTCCTATTTCTACCTGTAATTATAAAATACTTTCAGATTTATGTTGATGGGTAATACAGGGAAGCATGAGCAGTTGGAAATGCATGTGAATGCAGAAAAGGGAAGAGGGAAGTAACAGCTTTTAAAATGACCTGAAATGGTTGTACTGAATACTAGACAGAAAAGGAAAGAAATCCCAGTAGTTATTTTAAATTTACAAGGTAGTATTATTTTTTTCTTCTTGAAAACAGAAGTAAAGCATGACAAACTAGTCATTCAAATTTCTTTTCAAGATGATATGATAGCATAACACTGCAAGAAGTTAGGTCTAGCACAGGAGAGAGACTATAATGCTTCCTCGACCATATAAAGACGATTTCAGCATGTCAGATTTAATGACAGTCATGGGAAAAAAGTATACTTTAGAGGAACTGCTAGAGAAAAAACAAAAGTTAACTTGTATAACTAAAATGCATTTATTCATTTTTAGAGGCTTGTATAAAATAAAGCACATCAGATGTTTCCACACTTTCAAGATTAGTAAGCTGTTCCAAAATTTATTCTAATGGATTGGGAAAGTGCTTTTCTTCCATGAAAATTAGAAGAAAAAACTAGGTGTTGCCGTCTCAAGATTTTGCACAGGTCTTGTTAGCTGTCTTCATGCCTTTGTAGAAGAGTGCAAGTGGCGTAATCAGTGTCTAGAATAATGTCTCATTTTATACCTTTAAGTTCCTAATTTCACAAACGATAAATGTAAATAAAATCATTTTCCCAGCATCTAAACCCAGGAAAAGCCCAGGAAACCCAGGAAAGTAATAATAAAATAACAACCTGAAAATTCAAGCGCACGTATTCCAGTTCCGTCATTGACTTTGGGTGCGTCTTAAAAGTTTTA